GGGGGGGGGGGGGGAATAGAGTGGCATGGCAAACACTGGGGTCCGAGATGCCTCTTAATGCAAATCAAGACGCTTTGCATAGTCCACACAGCGGTTGACAGTTAATATAGAGCTGAACACATGTCCAAAGTCCCTGAATGATGTGAGGCAGAGGTGTAAAGTAACTAAGTACTCAAGTACCGAACTTCAGTACAATTCCGAGGTACTTTAATTGAGTATTTTTTGCCACTTTTACTCAAGATCTGAGTACTTGGCCAACTTTAGCAGCGAGAATGAAGGCGAAGAAGAGTTGTGGCCCCTCTCTGACCTTGGTAATAATAAGAGAGACAAATAGAAAGACTCTCATCCTATGTATGATCTCTCCTATAGACTCCACACACACTCCTCCTCCTCTGTCTTCATGTGCGCTGTGCAGTCTGATCGAGGTTGACTGCAGTATTATTTCATCAATTAAGTTTTCCACTTCCCGTAGAGCGTTGGTGGCGGAGCGACGCCCCTTCCTCTCGTCCGTCCTCTGGCGCTTCGTATCCCCCCCCATCACTGCTGATTATTGTCTCAATTACTCATCCCTCCTCTCTCACTCTTTCCTCCTCTTATCTCATCCCAAATCGCTCCACACACTCCCTTTTTTCCCTCCCTGTCATCCCAAAGTGAGGTGGGAGAGATTTGAGTCCTACACCACTACCTGCTCCAACCCACCAGCCACCCACCACTGACCAGGATTATCACAGATGTTCTCTGATTACATCTACCTTGATTTGGCGATATATTCCCCCCTCAAGTGTTAGGAAGTATTCAGCATTTCCACTGTTTAGCACCCAAGATTGTGTGGGGGGATATTTCCCATCGCACCTGTGATCTCTTTGTTCGCTTCTGTGAAATTGAGACTCACAGAAAATACCTGGAACATGCTGATGGATCCAAGTGGATTGTTTTACCAAAAGTTGCCCCCTTGTGATATTTGTGACCCGTTGATTGATGATGTTAAAAAATAACCTGCATTTGCAAAATCACATGTGCCGGCTCTCCTGTTTCAATTTGCCCTGCTCTCAGTCTCTTCTTTGAATCCATTACCGCTCCACTTTTCCATAATGGAGACATTAGAGTCTTTTACCTCTCTGCTCTCTATCATGTCATTTCAACTCTTTCCTTACTTTCTGTTTTGAACTTTTTCCACTCCTCCTCCTCCTCCCCGCTGTGTCCACCCGGTCATCTCCACGACTCCCGTCCCCATCATATCACCAACAGCTTGTCACAGCCAATCAGTCTCCCCCGCCTCGCCTCTCTGCATGGCCTCATCTTCCTCTCCCCGCGCTCCTCTTCCCCACTGTCCTCGTCTCCCGTCACCTTCTTGTCCTCCTTTGTGTGTCAGGCGTTCAGAAATCATCACTCTCTGACCAGTTGAGGGTGTTTACCCCACCCTCAATCCTTTCCTAGAGTCAGATATACCCCTCGGCTCATCTTCATCTTCATCACGCTCTGTCCTGGGGTGCTCTGTAAAACCATGCTTTCTAGTTTTAAGACAAGTAGGCACGATGATTTAATCATTTAGTAATTTTGTTTTCGTACACTTTGCCTCTGGACAAGAATATGTACTGAATGATGTTTCAAAAATAAATGTGATTTAGCTGAGTTGCATTCAATTAGTTTGTTAAATAAAAAAATAGGTTTTTCATCCACTTAAAATAGAGACAGCCCAGCATGGGAGTAGAACATATTTTGATTGAATTGTATTGATTACGACATTATCAAAATGGAAATGTACATGCAGCTCAAGAACAAATAATTCAAGTGGTTGTTGCTTGGGGCCAAATATATTTCAGAATTTTGATTCCTCCGAGTATCTTTGAAAAATGTTCAAAACATTTAGCTACAACCTGAATATGACATCTAAGCAGCCAAAGAAATAGAAAAGCATCCAATGAAACGATCTGAGCCAGATGAAACTAGAGCTGTTCGTAGTTTGGCTCACTGCACTGAAGCCACTGCACTTCATTAAAATACATAACATTTCCTCCTACATTAACAGGTCTCAAATACTATGATTTAAAACCGTTTGGTAACATAACAAATAGTAGTACAACTTAAGGAACACACTAACTTTTTCACTTCACTTTATTTAAACCTTCTTTATATCTCTTCTCTTCTATCCTTCATCCATCCCTGTCTCCTGGCTCTCCACCATGCTGTTCGCCCTGACCCCCGCCTGCTTCTCTCCTCCTGCTGCTTTCACACTCTGCATCCTGCAGAGATGGAGGGAGAGAGAGTGACGGAGGTGTTAGAAGTAAAGCTTCCTCTTTTTCACACCACTCTTTCTCTCTAAGCCATCCACCATCCCCCCTTCCTTCCCTCCCTCCCTCCCTCCCTCCCTCCCTGCCTCCTTCAGACAGGCTAATCTATAGCCTGAAGCTAAGTGGCGGGGGGAAAATGATTTTTTACATTTCTTTAGGGAGGCAAGGTGAGGGCTAGCCCCGGGGGCTATATCGGGGAAAATAAGGATGGACGGATGGTGTGTGCACAGGTGTTTTTTGTAAAAGAGAGAAAAATATGTTTCCTGTCTCTTTCCACTGCGGCTACACTTGAGCTGAGACCGGCTTTTCATGGGATGGAGAAGCTAGAGTGATGATTTCTGTATTTCTGCAGAGGTGTGATTCTCATCTCCTCACCTCTCACCTTCCTCCTTCTCTTTTGCTTCTCCTCTAACATGTTCCTTTCTTCCATTTTCCACCGTCTGATCCGTCTGTTCGGATTCTCCGCGTGCTCGTACCTCCTCCAGCCTCACTGACCTGCAGTCCAGTGATCTTTAATGCATACACTGACATGCTTTATCTAAGAAGAAGTGTTACAGGAGTTCATGCGCGCACCCCCTCTTTATGCCTGTGCACTTAGTTTGCTTGACCTCCTTTAGCCTGATCGCTAGCTCCACTAGAAAGAAGCTTGTTGGATTCCAGCACAGGTTAGGAGGCTGATTTGAAATGTCAAACTATTTCTCTGCCGCTCTGATTAAATTGCATTCTGCGGTGTAAGAAAAAAGCGTTTATGGCTTAAAGATGCGTATTAAATCCCTCATTGCCTGTATTAACACATCAGTCCCTCCATTTCAAATTCTCTTTAATTGGCTTTATTAAATACATGAGCAGTGATAGTAATGGGGTATTAAACATTGTAGCTTTAAATCATTCAGCGCAGTCTGTATTTCACCCAATCAGGTCCGGTTTCTCTATACACACACTGTTTTGTGTCTCAGGGGCTCTATTTTATTTCATATGCGCTCTTGATTGGATTACCAGCCCTTTTTTTCCATCAGTCTCTCTACATTACCCCCCTCTCCGGCAATTTCCCCCAGCCCGAGCAGCTATTGCAGTTGACTCAAAGCGGTTGAGTCCATGCAGAGCGGTGGGGGTGTTAATGAATTCCAGCAGACTGCTAAATGAGGTCTTATTAAAACGCTGCCGCCTCGTAGTTTGACATTTCAGAGCTTCTGGTGGAGTTTTAAATCGCTGCCTCTGCAAATGTCACTGGTTGACTCTCGAATGGCCGGCCATATGAATAGACGCTATTGTTGGCACGGGGCTATAGTTTGAGAAAGAAGGGGAATCATGTGTGGCTTTGACTAATGGGTTTTCACTCTGTGTGTGTGTATTTATGTCACCCTTCTACTCGGCTAATTGTCTAATTTTCTGTTTTCCATCCCTCCAGCTACGTCAGATGGGACGCGTCAAGGCCTGGAGGGCATGAGGGGCGGAGTGTGTGCGACGCAAGGCATGAAGGTGGTCCTGAAAGTGGGGCAGAGTAAGTCTTCTAAACTCTCTTGTCCTACATTGCTTTTTCACACACACACACACACACACACACACACACACACACACACACACACACACACACACACACACACACACACACACACACACACACACACACACACACACACACACACACACACACACACACACACACACACACACACTCTCCCTACACTACACGACGACGCGTACACCTCCTGGAGTCCGCCACACATGGGCCCTTCCTCTCACACATTGCTATTCATGCCTCACACACGATACCCTAACACAGAGCTACAACCATTGGCTCCAGTCCACCGCATCTCACACCACCTCCCATCTGTACAGCGGCACACATTCCTTATCTCCCACTTTTAAAACCATCCCTCTTATCTTCCTCTTTCTTACACACACATACAAAACGTGTGTGTGTTCTCTCCGAGCGTATTAGGTCTCATTAAGTGGTGAGAAGAACAGCAGAGAAGTGTGAGATCAGTCGGCTATAATGAGGCCTGTTGAGTTCCTTCTGACTCTGCCTTTTAACTACTACTGACACACACCCACACACACTTTAAATCTTGCATGTCTCTGTGCGGGATATACATTACAGGTGAGCTCACACACACACAAAGACAGGAGCACACACACGGGCGTGCAGACTTGCAAGCTTAGGTGGTCGTGCGGACACACACGTACACACACATTTCCCCCACAGCACGATAACAGAATAACTCTATTCAGGGTTTAAAGCACACAGGAGTGGTTTTTAACGAGTCGTAGCTGCGCACACAAAAAAATATTCACAGGTAATGACCCCTCACATGCAGGCCTGTCAGAGAAAGCAGCAGGGGAAACAGCAAGCATTTTCACTGACCTGCACATTCCTACATATAATGGGCACCTGTCCTTCACACGACCCCCCTCACACACACCTATTTCTATTTATTTAGCCTATCCTGTGTTATCGGGCCTTGTGTATTGTGGTTGCTCTTCAGCGTTGAGCCAAGTGGCGCTGCTGTGGCTCTATCAGCCCAGAAGATCAGCCCAGTCAGCTCCGCTCAATAGAAACACCACACACACACACACTTTCTTTTCCCATGGCTTTCCACCACACCGGCAATCCAATCGCACACCACTTTTAAACAACTCTATGAAGTTCAAAGACACACACGTCTTTCTATTTTTCATCTTTCTTCACCTTATCCCTATTTCATCTCCTCTCCTTTTCTATTTCCTCCTATCTCCTTTCTCTATTCCCTCTGCATTTGCCTATTTTCTTTCTTTAACCCCCTTTTCATTCAAGCAACACTGCCCACTTCCTTTTTCAAATTCCCCTTTTCCCCGTCCTCATCACTTCCCTTTCACTTGGCATGCTCGCCATCTCCTCTCCCAACTCTGTTGTTTTCACTCTTCCTCTGTCTTTCTGTCTTATCTGCTGTGTGGCTGAAAGGTCACGTCTGTGCTGTTTGTCATCTAAATAAGCGCCGTGCCGCCTCACGGTGATCTCTGATGAGATATGCTGCTCCGAGACACACGCACACACTCGTGAAACACGCACTTTCAACCCCCTTACCCCTCCCCTCACACACACACACACACACACACACACACACACACACACACACACACACACACACACAC